TCCCGTACAGAATCTTCTGCGATGAATGATCTTCTGTTGCTTAGGAGACTCCATAATCCTACTGCACGAATAGCTCCTGATTCTGAGATGTGGCAAGCTCTCGTTTGGACCACCAAACCAGCTCCCAAATCATGGCATGGAGACTTATTACTAGTTAGGCATGCTCAGCCTCATCTTACGAGTGCCCCGATAGCGCTTATAACTTAACTGTTCCTCTTCGTCTGTTTTGCCCCAGGGCTTTTTTCCTCTCATTCTGTATGTCTTACTCTGTTCGGTGTGACAGACATCTCCCCTTCTTCCTCCCTCTTTCTCCCAGCTCTCTCCTCTTGAGCCTGGATTCCTCCCCCTACTTATCCTCTCTGCCCACCAACCCCACCTGTCCCTCTGCTGCCCAGCTATTGGCCCTGCAGCTTATTAGGGCCAATCAGGTTCCTTAGGCAGGCAAAGCAGTAAAACTTTCATCATTAAACAAATGCAGCATAAACAAACGTAAAGCAGCATCTTTGCCTAGTTAAAGCAATATCCCACAATACTGAGACCACGCTATGAAAATTGAAGCTGTGGTCTCCTAGACCCTTGGGTGCCACAGGAAACTAGTGTTGTCTGAACACCCATCATAAAGCAGATGAAGGTCCTACTTGAAAACTGCCCCAGACGAGCCATAGAAAGGCTTTAAAGTGTTTCAGATCATTTTAAAACCTCTAAAATCAGAGGTCCCTTAAGTTCTCATGTGGCCAGATAATTACATGCATGTCTGTTTATCCCCAGAGTCATTGAAAAGGGCCTTGGGGTTGCTACTTCATTCACACTGCGTTATTAGCAGAAGGGTTTATGATAGAGACGGAATCTGAGTAGTTCCTTAAATGATGCAGTTCTTCACGTGATGGGCTGAGAAGAGGCTGGTGTGAGGAGGGTGTCTCAAGGCCTGCTGGGGAGTTAAGATTCCATCCTGGAGGTGTTGTTGTTATCAGTCAGCCCAGGGCAAGAGGCAAGCAGTGCCAACCAAGCCAACAGGGACGCTGGAGACGCTGCAATCTGGTTGGTGTTCCTGTACTGGTGCGATGTGCCTGTCTTTACTCTCAGAACTGAGGCCCATGCTTGCCTGCCTGCTCATGTGCCCCTAGGTCCTCTGTGCTTGGTAGGCAGAAAGACGGCACACAGCTCGTTATTGTCACCTGAGGAATGTCATATAGTAGCCATCGGGCATTCTGCACGTGGAGAGATTGAGGAAGATGCTACAAGCTTGGTAGGGAGCCACTAATGCCTGGCCCTGGCTGTCCGTGACTATGTCCTGTGAAAATCGGCTCCTATGCAGGGGGTGGGCAGGGGAGGGGGGATGGGAGGGTGAGGTGGAAGGGCGGGAGTGGGGGAGTGGGAAGGGGGTTTCCAGACACTGAAACAGCACAAAAGTGGAAGCCATTTTTAGCACGCTGGCTTTTCATTTTACAAAGTACTGAAGAGAAAAGCTTTTGGCTGTTACCTACAAAGTTATATACAGCTCACTTTCTTGCTTCCTTCCTTCCTCCCTCCCTTCCTTCCTTTTATTCTTTCCTTCAAGACAGGGTTTCTCTATGTAGCCCTGTCTGTCCTGGAACTAGCTCTATGGCTCTGTAGACCAGGCTGGCCTAGATAGAACTCAGAGATCCCCCTGCCTCTGCCTCCTGAGGGCTGGGACTAAAGGTGTACACTGGCTAGCCTTTCAGCTTTTCAAATTGTGAGCTAAACCAACTTCCTTATAAGGTTTGGGAGCCTCAGTGACAAGACACCTACTAACATAATGAGCCTGTCCACTTACTTTAGCAGAACAAAATAGAGAACATTGTGCTGTTAGAAACCTGGAAGCTACTTGGGATCCATTGTTCCCAGAACATCCTGTCGCACAGCGGTCAGATCATCTGCCTTCCTTCCGGCCACAGCCTTATGCAGGTCCCAGGCTTGGTCATGTGATCATGGGGATCTGGTTGTCAAAGTCTCCAGAGGGAGACCTTGGTGAGGGAGAGAACAAACCCATGAGCACATCTGGTTGACAAACTAACAAAGCCAGGTGTGGTGGCACACGCCTGTCATTTTTAGTGCCTGGGAGGCAAGATAACCAAGAATTCAAGAGCAACTTCCACTGCATAGTGAGTCTGAGGCCAGCTGGGCTGTGCAAGATCCTGTCTTCAAAACAAACAGCAGCAGCAGCAACAAAAACCTGAACCCCAAACAATACCCGCGCCCCGCCAAGAAACTTGACTACAGTAAGTTAGGAATGAGGTAGTTTTTGGGTGGTCCCGGAACTGGGAAGACAAACAGGAAAAGTTTTGGCAGGGGACCTTGTAGGGAACCCTAGAAAACACTGGTGACTCTCAGACACCTAGACTAGGCAAGAAGAGCAGAGTAAGGAACCCTACAAAGACTAGGCAGCAGGAGGGCGCTCTGTCTGCGCATGTCCTACTGGGCATAGCCCTCTCGGCAGCTACTCAGCCACCGCAGTTTTATGAATCGCCCTCCTCGATCCACAGGTCGTGATGAATGGTCTTTAGAAGGGACAGGCTTCTGTATGGAGGATCAAATCCTACTGGACATGGGACATTTAGGGAAAGCAGGGCAAAGCCCTGGCCAAAAGCGTCTGGAGCTTCGTATAACAGTTGCCCTCAGCTAAGCAACCCGGGACATAGAGGAGGTATTGTGCCCTAGCTGGACACTGTAGCCTGTCTCCAATCTGCCCGCACAGAACTGGCTGTCCTTGGATGCCCAATCAGGGAGAGATACTGACACAGAAGAGATTCGGGATAGGACCTGTGTGATCTGTCCACGCGGCTACTTTTTGACCAATTCAGTCCAGAAAAGTTGGCCTCTATAAGCCTGCACCTGCTTGATGCAAACTTCCTGTTACTCTGGGCAATTTAAGTAATTACAAGCCTGTCAGGCTCCAGGGATCTAGAGCTGTTCTGTTTGTGGGCCTCGCTTTGGAATTCTCACCATGAGGGGCCACTTCGGGGTCAAGTAGCTTCCATCTGGCTTGGAGAGGAGTAAAAGCCAGATGACGACCAAGGTCTGCTGGGAAAATGGAAGGAGCCATTGGTCAGATGTGAAAAGTTATGAGAGAGGACAGAGGATTGAAGATGCTGAGTGACTTGTTAAGACTGGCTTCGGGGACCTGGAGAGACAGACAGCTCAGCACTTCAGAGCACTGGCTTCTCTTCCAGAGGACCTGAGTTCAAAACCCAGTTCCCACATTCCAGCATCCCACATGGCAGCTCACAATCATCTACCTATAACTGTAGTTCCATGGGATCCAATGCCCTCTTCTGGTGTGCAGCTGTACATGCAGACAAGACATCCATATATATAAAATATATAAACAAATACATAGCCCGGCGTCGGTGGTGCATGCCTTTAGTCCCAGCACTTGGGAGGTAAAGGCAGGTGGATCTCTGTGAATTCAAGGGCAGCCTGGTCCACAGAGTGAGTTCCAGGACAGCCTCTAAAGCTACACAGAGAAACCTTATCTTGAAAAACACCAAACCAAAACAAACCCAAATACATATTAAGACTGGCTTTTTGGGCCAGCGGTGGTGATACACGCCTTTAGTCCCAGCACTCAGGAGGCAAAGGCAGGTGGATCTCTGAGCTTGAGGCCATCCTGGTCTACAGAGCGAGTCCCAGGACAGCCAGGGCTGCACAGAGAAACCCTGTCTCGAAAAACCAAGCAACAAAACAACCAAACAACAACCAGACCCTGGCTTTTGTTTTGTTTATTTGACACAAGGTCTCAGGTAACCCATGCTGGGTTGGAACTTTCTAGGTAGCACAGTGTAATCTTGAACTTCTGATCTTCTTCCTGCCTGAAATTAAGGGTATATGCCACTGAAGGGTTAATGACTTATAAGACAGGACTTCAGAGGAGCCGAGAAACTCCAGACTCAGCATACTGATAAGAACACCTGCCTGACAAGAAAGCCAACAGGGTAATGAGAACATCTGCTGGCATTCAGGGCCTTTAAACTGCAGGACAGGCATCTACAGAAAACACTTCCTCTCCCTGACATCCCTCTTTTGCCCTACAAAGCCCCAAGCCTCCCTAGCAGTCCCCACCACTTCCTCTGAGACCGCTTCCCTTCATTCCTATTAAAGCACAATTCTGCTTTCTGTAAAAAAAAAAAAAAAAAAAAAAAAAAGCCTGTGTCTTTATTTCCATGTTGCCTGGGTCAATTCAGATCTAACACCCGCCATGCTGGGGTTTATGGGGGAGTACGTGAGGGGATCTGGCTCAGGGCTTCAGGCATGCACTGAACCAACCCAGCCACATCCCAGGCCAAACCGGGTTGTTGCTGTTTAAAATAAAGGTTACATTGAGAAGGACCAGTAAGCTTAGATTACTCCCCCCCCCCAAAAAAATAAAAGCTAGCATTTGTATGCGTCAGCAAATGGAGCCCTCCCAGAGGCTCGAGGCACAAGAGGCCTCACAAGGCGTCCCTCTGTGTCAGAGGAGTCTGGAGAAGGGTCGCCAGCCCCCATCCTAGCTCTGCCTCTGGCTGAGCTCCTGCCCACACAGCTGTAGGGTTTTCTACGTGGAGGAAAGGGGGCTTCCTCTCCAGGGTGCGCCCTTCCTTTCCCAGGCTCACTCTGGCCAGTGTTGGAAGCGGGAACAAACGACCGCTTCTCGGATTTTCTTTCTTTACACACAGAAAAAGGCACCGCAGGGCAAAGTGCAGTACTGGAAGGGAGCGATCTGAAGGCCGGGTAGTAGATGAGGCAAACTGATCCTTTCCTCTACTCATCCCGGTCCTCGCCGCCCTCCTCCTTGCATCTAGCCGTCACTTTACGGCGGGACTGACTACCCAGCGACTTGGAAGCGCCTTCTTAGGACCACAGCCAACAGCATAAACTGTACGAATGGCTCTTTGTGACGCGACGGGTCGTGGGTTCAGGTCTCCCGGGGCAGGTGGTGTCCGACCGGGCTCAGATCTGATTGCGGGAGGTCTGCCCGCAAGTCCGGTGTTGGGTGGCCACCGAGGCGGACGCCGACCGGAGCCGGGCGGAGCCGAAGCCCGGCGGCTGGGCTAGACTCGACGCGCCGGGAGGAGCCGGCCGGCGGCACGTGACCGACCGCGGAGGCCGCGGCCCAGAAATAGCCGCGGCGACAGTTCCGCCCCGCGGCGGGCGAGCCAGAGCGCTGGGAGACGGCTGGACGCAGGCTGGGCGCGCTGCGGCCCGGACGATGCTGCTGAGCCCCGGCCCGGCCCGGCCCAGAGCACATGATGGCGATACGGGAGCTCAAAGTGTGTCTTCTCGGGGTGAGTCCTGGCTCCATCCTGCGGGGATCCCGGCTCCCGCGCGCCTTTGTCCCCTCGCTGCCCGGCCCCGGCGCGCTCCTTCCCGCGCCCCGCACCGGCCGCCGGGTCCCAGCTGCTCCCGAGCGACTCCGATCGCTCCATCTGCGCCCGCGCGTCTGGGAAGCTTGGGTCTCGCCAGGCTGGGGGACGGGCAGGGTAGCTGGGCTGTCGAGGACCGGACGACAGCGGGCCCTGCAGCCCCGCGGGGCCTCTGGGGCTCTGGCTTCCACCACGGTGGTTCCCTCCCAGAGGAATGTTTAAGTTACTCCGCGGAGGCACTGGTTTTCCTCTGCGTCCGGCGGGGGTGGGCCGGTGGCAATTGCTTTATTCGCTGGGAAAACAAGCCAACAAATCAATCCTTCCTGCCCAGGGTGGGAGACCTGGGGCTTGGACTGACTGCCGAGCAGCGGAAAGAGCGAACTATGTGTGAACTCTGTGTCCGGCACACTTTTCTCGCGGTGGATGAAAAGAAGTAGAACGAACCCCCCCCCCCCGTCACCCTTCCCCTTCCAAAATGAGTCTTTCTTAGTCCCAAGAAACAGAAGCAGTCAGAAACAAAGAAACAGCACCAGACCCGGCCCGTGCGACCCAAGGACCAGACCAGACATTGCTCATCACACAGGGCTGCTGTCCCTTGAAAACCGCCCCAGGGGATTCAGTGTTTGGGGGTCACTTCCTTGGGGCTACCCACATCAAATTCCAGAAATCTTCCAAAGTTAGGGCTGGTGTTAAGCCATGTTTTCTGTAGCCTTTGGCATCCATCCGCACCGGGTGTACCGCCCTTGACGTTGGCAATTCTGGCTCTGCAAGGAAAGTATTTCCCAAATAAAAGAGCAGGGCAGGGTAGGGCCACATTGGTTCTTCTGAAAGAAATGTCAGTGGGTCTGTGAGGATGGATGTGGAGGTGTACACAGGCCATGACTGTAGGTTGATTAGGATCCCACGTCCCGATGGGCTTCCGTGAACCCTTCGGTGGAGGAGTATTGGGAACTGAGCCCACGCTTTCCTCACCGGGTACCACCAGTAGCTGTGGAATGGGAGGAATCCCAGGGGGTCTTTAGTGTCCAGGGAGGCCTTGGCTGGGCTCCTCACCCTTGGAGACTGGGGTTCTGTTCTTGCCTCTCTCTCTTGAAGTTCTGGTATTAAAGCAGTAAACTTCATGTCTTCCGGGCTGTCCAATATAGTCTAGACCTAAATTCCACAAATCCGTGGGAGAAGGGCCTTTGAAGATTTAAAAGTTATGTCGGGCCCCAAAGAAGGAAGAGGAAGCTTGGGTACGAGGGACTTGTGGCAATTAACCTTGGGAAAAGATGGAATAGGAAACATTTTTGGCTCTTGAGGGTGGGTGACACCTTTTCCTTTGTCCATACTCATGCTTCCAAGACATCACCCTTACTTTTTAGTTTCATTGTTTGTCCACCCTACTAGGACAGTGACTTGGTGGCAAGGGCTCAGAAGCAGAAGTTGGGGGCCTGGTCTGTCTTCTGGTGCAGGGTCTGGAAGGGCTGAATGAGTGGTTGAATTGTACAATGGGCCCCTCATCCCCTTCTCCTTGAAGGCAGAGAACTATACCAGATATACATGTTACCGGGCGTTGGAGGCACACACCTTTAATCCCAGCACTCGGGAGGCAGAGGCAGGTGGATCTCTGTGAGTTTGAGGCCAGCCTGGTCTACACAGAGCTAGTTCCTGGACAGGCTCCAAAGCCACACAGGGAAACCCTGTCTTGAATAACAAAATAAAAGAACAACAACAAAAAACCCAAAAAACAAAAACAAAAAAAGATATACATGTGACCGTTTGCTGGTGGCCCATGATGCCAGAGTAGACTATATAGCAAGCCTGGCTGAGCCAAGGCCAACTAGACAATCTCCCCCATCTCTCCCCCCTCCCTCTTCATTGCTGTAAACATGCAGTCTCCACCAGCTTTCTGGAGGCGGTGACTTATTTGAATTGCTGTCTTTTTGTGATGGGCCTACAGGTAGGAATTTGAACTGGGGGTGGAGGATTCTGTAACAGGGAAAGAAGTAACTTATGAAAATTTTGAAAAACTTCATATCACACCACATCGGCATCATCCTGGTTTTGAAGGTAGTTACACATTTTATAGTCTTATTGAGATGGGAAGGTATTTTATTACAAGGAGCCGAAGAATTGTGTCCACACTGAGTGCTGGTCTTCAGGCTCCCTGGCTTGTTTGGTTCTTTTCTGAGTCAGCCTGCATCTCTGTCTGCTTTTGGGAAATAGGCTGGTTCTCTCTATGAAATGGTGCCTGAAGGGGGTCTATGGCCCTGGTGTACTGTCTGGATTTGAGAGATCCTCAGGGCCTGAAGATGGGTGAGGGGGTCAGTGATGAGCCCTATGGTCGCGTGAGGATTTTAGCAGGAATCCTAGGGCCTCTCTGTTGTCATGGTGACGGCCATGCATCTGTTCTGGGTGAACTAGTGCTTGTAGATGTCACACACCTCCATGAAGTCTTAGTGTGACCAAGACCCTGCCAGCTTTACCCTCGGTTACGGAGAAGGTGACAGAGTGTATTCTCCACCTAGCAAAGCCTTACCCTTGCTGGAGAGGCTTGCTGGCTAGTCTGTGCTGGAAGACATGCTCCCCGCTCAAGCAAGGCACAGGCTGTTTTTAGGGTGGGTCTCTGCTGGTGACTCTTTGCTATTGTCTCAGGCTCTTGCCCTTGGGTTGGAGGATTTATTGAGACCAGTAGAAGTGTGAGTGGGCCAGGTGGCACTGTCTCTACCTGTTCCCGTGATTCCAGAATGCAGATGCGCCTCCTGTTTACTTGGTTGTCTGACTTTGTTCCTTTTGATGAGTGTTCCACATTGGATTGGCTTTAGCCTATCAGACATTCTCTGATAGTTGAGTGTATTGGCTGTTTTTTTTTTTTTTTTTTTTTCTTTTTTTTGTGCAGTGGGGGAAGAGGGGCATTTAAGACAGGTTTTTTTTTTTTTTTTCTGTGACATAGTCCTTGGCTATTCTGGAACTCACTCTGTAGACCAGGCTGGCCTCAAACACACAGAAATCTGCATGCCTCTGCCTCCCAAGTGCTGGGATTAAAGGTGTTTGTCACCAATGCCCCGCAACATGGATATCTTAAAGGGAATCACCTGGTATAGTTTTCTGCCTTCAAAGAGAAGGGGATGAGGGGTCCATTCTACAGTTCAAGTGCAAGTGCTGGGATTAAAGATGTATATCACACTTCCTGGCATTGCATGGACTGTTTTTTTTTTTTTTTTGTCATCTTGACACAAGCTAGAGTCACCAGAGAGGAGGGACCCTCTACTGAGAAGATGCCCCCATAAGATGCAGCTGTAGGGTATTTTCCTAGTGATGATGGGGGAGGGCCCAGCCCACTGTGGGTGGTTCCAAATCTACGCTGGTACTGTGTTCTATAAGAAAGAAGACTGGGCAAGCCATGGGGAGCAGACCAGTAAGCAGCACCCTCCATGGCCTCTGCATCAGCTCCTGCCTCCAGATTCTGGCCCTGTTTGAGTTCCTGTCCTGACTTTCTCTGGTGTGGAAGTATAAGCCGAATAAACCCTTTCTTCCCTAACTTGCTTTTTGGTGTTTCATTGTAACTATAGAAGCCCTAACTGAGGGGCTGGAGAGATGGCTCAGCTGTTAAGAGCACTGGCGGTTCTTCCAGTGTTCTTCCAGGTCCTGGGTTCAGTTCCCAGCACCCACGTGGCAGATTACAACTGCCTGTAACTCTTCTTCCAGGGGATCCAACATGGACATGTGTGCAGGCAAAATACCAGTGCACATGAAATAAAAATAAACAAACCATAAAAAAAAAAGAAAGAAAAAGAAACCCTAACTAAGACAGTGGTCTTGAAAGTCGAGGGCTCAAGAACACGGTCTATTTATGTTGCCTGCTATACATCTGTGGGCTTCTCATGTTTATGGCACATGTGATACTGCAGCCAGCCTCTGTGAGTACCCGCCCTTCCCTGGGGTCAGTGGGCACACTATGGAAGCCAGCCGCCATTGCCATTAGGGGCATGTTTGACCATGCTGGGCCAGGTTCAGTGGACACGCAGGACCCATTAAGTCAGTTTTACCAGTAATGTGCCAGGCTATCACACTGTGGAATCTGTGCTAGTATTATGAAACAGGATGCTTAAAAAACAACCTCCCCAAAGTTCACTTTTCAATCCCGGACAAAAACAGCTGTCTGAACCTCAGAGGTGGAGCGCTTCCCAGTCCAGATTTTTCACACACACATAGCCATGTGGCGAGAGCAGGAGACAGAGGAGACAAGGAGGGGGAGGGGGAGCCTGTTTCTTCTGGGCATGTGTGCTTAAAAAACTGCTTCCGGATGGGATCCCGAGCAGGTTTGTATTTGTGCTTTGGTTGTCTTGACAACAATTTAGAGATTTCTGCTACTTCCCTAGCAGCTGAGTGAGTAGTTAAAACACAAGTGAGGGCTTCCCTGCTTCTGGTGAGGGTGGTGGGAGCCTCTCTCGGTGGCCTTGTTAGTGTCTATATGTGTGTCACCAAACAGCGTGCACACACCAGGGTTCTATGAGACATCTGGGTGATGGGGATGAACGTGTATGCAAGGCTTGTCCAGGGCAAGGCTCTGTGAATGCAAGGGCACTAGGACCCAGAGTGGGCGGTCTTCTCTCACCCCAAAGCTCAGAGACGGGAGCCACGGGACGTCAAGGGGAGCTGCGTGAGCTTTGCTGCTGCCAGCATCTGATAGGGTTAGCTGGGAGTTACTGGGAATCCTTGCCGAGGACTGTGAGTTACAATAGGAAGTTCCAGTCTTAATCTGCTTTCTGTTTCTATGTAACAAAATACTCCAGGCTGGACACTTTGGGAAACCAAGATGTGGTTTATTGCTCTGGTAACTGTAGAGTCCCAAAACTATGTGTCTCTGCCCTCTGACTGCATCAAATGTGTGGGGAGGGGAAACCAAAAATGGTGGGGACTCTGTGGGGCAGTGGAAG